GGCTTCTCGAGCACCCATCGATGCGGCGGCGCGGTGTTGAACGAGAACTGGATCGCGACCGCGGGACACTGTGTCGATGAGTGAGTAGAATTTCTTTGGAATTGGAGATGTTCGGGGAGGTTGCAAATTGAAATTTTTGTTGAATGCGTTACTTAAAGAAGATAAAGTAGAAATCTGTTTCTTTTTTTACATACATCATTTTGTATATTTGTGCACATTTTTTTATAAATGTGTATATATATAAAATACGTATATAAAGTATATAAAATATCAGGCTATTAAATTGTTATAGTTTGAAAACTTTTTTGCAAAATATTCATATACGTGGTTTTAAATATATTAAATATATCTCTTTCGTTTCAAGAACAAAAATAAAAGAAAGTAGAATAAGAGTGTATTCAATATGAAAACTATAATAAAATGTTTCCTATTAATATCGAAAATAACTTTCGAGACATGCTAATAATATCGGAAATAATAAGAAAAGAGATGTATAAATACGAAGATAGAAAGTCTATGAGCCGCGGATCATAAGAAGAAGCGGGATCAGTGTACGTAATTGCTTCCTGTTATGATTACAGCCTCTCCGTACGTGAGTGAATGCAAATGTGCCCGCCCCTCGTGTAGAAAATGAACCTCGATTAACCCGTATACTTGATTAGCGACGATCGTAAGAATGCAAAACGAGAGAAATATTTGAAATCGATTCTGTTGCAGCCTGTTGACCTCGCAGATCCGGATCAGAGTAGGCGAGTACGATTTTTCGTCGGTGCAAGAGCGACTGCCGTACGTGGAACGCGGAGTGGCCAAGAAGGTGGTCCATCCGAAGTATAATTTCTTCACTTACGAATACGACTTGGCGTTGGTTCGATTGGAAAGCTCGTTGACCTTCGCTCCGCATATCTCGCCGATTTGTCTGCCGGCCACTGATGATCTTCTCATCGGCGAGAACGCGACCGTCACCGGTTGGGGAAGGTTGAGCGAGGGTGGCACCCTGCCATCCGTGTTGCAAGAGGTAAACTTTTACAATAATTATACTCTTACAGTAATTATAAATCCACGAAGAATAGTTTTAAATTTTCCAATGTAAAAAGAATTGTATGAAATCCTGAACCTTTAATTCTTAACAATTTATCGATTTAACGTCATATTTATAACATCTCAATGAGAAAAGATTTCAGGTTACGAATGAAAAATTCTTAATTCAAACTAGAATTGGGTGTCTATTGCAGGTTTCCGTGCCCATAGTGAGTAACGATAGGTGTAAGTCAATGTTCCTGAGGGCTGGGAGACACGAGTTCATACCGGACATCTTTCTTTGCGCCGGATACGAGAGCGGGGGCCAAGATTCTTGTCAGGTATCTATAAAATAACTCCGCCTATAAATATCGCTACAGACAGACTGTTTCATTATTAATATATATTTAATTTTGAAGTCGTGTTGGAACTGCAGAAAAATCAATATTTGCTAGAGTGGCTTGCTAAAAAAAAAAAATGTGCAATTTTCAGGGCGATTCGGGTGGACCTCTGCAAGTGAGAGGGAAAGACGGCCGATATTTCCTCGCGGGCATCATATCCTGGGGAATCGGATGCGCGGAGGCGAATTTACCAGGGGTGTGCACGAGGATCTCCAAGTTCGTCCCATGGATCCTGAAGAACGTCACTTGACCCTGTTTCCGATCCATCATCTGGTCACGGGACCTCGTCGACAGATTGGCGAACCGATTCGCCGGTGTCCGAGCACTTAAAACGTAACTCTAAACGTTTCTTCGGATATTTCTTTCTAACCAAGGAGTAACAGAGAGAATCGGCAACTGAGAATCACTGCCAAATAAAACGTAAGACTTGTCGAAAGAGGAAAAGAACGAGACTCGTAACACGAAGATTCTCATTTCTCCTTTGAAGATAAAATGTAAAAAGAGAAGCGAAATGGTGTAAAAGGAAATGAGAGTTCGTGTCGTATTGAGCAACGTATCGTAGACAAAAGTTTGAGAAACTGGTGTCTCAAAGACTGCCGCTTTGAAAGCGAAGCCAATCAAACACAGATCGCGCGAGACTGTGGAAAAGAAAGAGATCGTTCTTCAAGAACAATGAACAAACTCGCGCTCAACCAGGACTGTATTTATATATAAATATATAAATATAAATAAGATAATATATATATATATATTTTTTGAACGAGCTGTTGGCTCGTCTGTCAGTTTTTGCCAGCCTGTACATGAATATATAAAAAAGAAGAGAATTAAGTTGAAATTGGCTTGACGTTGAAAAGGCCTGCGGAAAGGATTATATATGAATAATTAAAAGATATCGGCAGTTTCAGCAGCAAGCCCATGATTATACATTTATCTACCAAGTTGTATAGCGAATTTTGTAAAATGCTAAATTCTTGCCCATCGCCTCTAAATATCCTCTATTAATCAAAGAATTAAATTAAAATTCTGTCTTTCTTTCATTCTTTTTCTCTCTCTTTTTCTGTTTATTCCTTTTTTCTTTCTCTCTCTCTCTCTCTCTCTCTCTCTCCATTCTCTCTCTCCATTCTTTATTTACAAAGTACGGATATTTTTGTACAGATATACATCGTGTACTTAAAGGTAGGTGTGTGCAAACTAGGAAAGATTTAATAAATATAAATATATATATGTGTAATTGTTTATAGATATATATAACAATATTTATAAGTATGTCAAATAAACGTATGTTTATTATTACCCGGGATTCGTCTATTTTGTTCCCAAGTAGGATAGAAATTCTACAAAATTCGCGAATTGAGCGGATCGTTGACACGACCAGCGATCAGAACCACCGAGGTTTCCGCGTCGACGATGAAGTAGAGGAACGGATGGACAACTGTAAATGGCACTGGACCTGCCCTCTCGAATAATCCATTACCTGTGAAAAATTATATATATTTTATTTATATATATATTTCATCAGTGAATAAATAAAATCATCTTGTTCCAAATATCCATATTGTATATTAATCTAGTGCAGATGAAGAAAGGTAACATGGAACAGGTAACGAGGTATTTGATAATATATGTTAGCATGAGGAGAAAAAAAAATGATAATTGGAAACAGCTGACAGATTAATGAAAATATTTACGAGCAACATTCCTTGTAACGATTCAGGAATTCCTAGTAAGCATAATGGAGAACACGACCGCAAGGTCTTTTTATTTATTTTCCTCGGTGAGTCAGGCGTACAGGATATCAGCGATTAAACCAAGCCAACTTTATAACAATACTGAGAATATTCTCGATCGTGGACGGCGTCAATTACAATAAACCGGAAACGAATTCTTCGACGAGCAAACAACGAATTGGCAATAGATTCGACATTTATCGATTAGAGAAAAAAAAAATTGTATCTTCTGGAATGTTTGCGTGATCGTAATCGTACGTCACAGACAGCGAATAACTTAACTATAAAAAAAAAAAAAAAAGAAAGGAATTAATTACTATGAATCTATTTTCTTTGAAAGAAGATGAATAAATTAAGAGTAATACTCGTTCGATTCTCACGATGCAATTCGCTGATATAGTTGGAGGTCAACAACCTTTACAAGAGAAAGTATCAATATAATATAAATATGAATCTGAACTGTTTCTCGATCTTCACAAAAATTTTTATTTTTCAAAATTGAAACAATTTCCATTCCAAAATTTTTAATAAAATTCTTTCTTAATTTTATATTAGCTAGATATATATATATAAAAGATCCATGGTAACGATAGAAAGCAAAAAGCATGGAATGTAAAAAAGAAAACGAAGAGGAAGGGAGAACGAATCAGACACGCGCCAGTAGTAATGGCCAGACATCGTCAGACATTTGCCCATTACGTTGCTCAGAAATTATACGAAATTTATGAAGGGAATGCGGATCTTATTGATCTTATTTTTTGATATTGACTAAAAAAATTTTACAAATAATATACACAATAATATACTATCAAAGATTTGAAGAATCGTTAACGTATTACTTAAATAGATTGTACAAGCTGCTAAGAAACAATTCAAAACTTTAAAATAGCTTTAAAATACAAAAATATAAAGAAAATTAAATTAATATATATTCTCAATTTAATAAGTCTTCTTGAATAATATATGTAATAACTTAAGAAAATTATTATTAATAAAATAATCGGAAAATATAATTACGATTTGAGACACGATTCTAAACTTTTGGTCGATAGTGTAACACAGTGAGCGAAGGAATTAGGTATTCCCTTTGCCGTTCTCAGCAACATACACCGATATATCTCATTGTTCGCGGACCACGTACACCGGAGAATCGCAATTTCACCGATTGCGTCACGTCTATTGCCTGATCGAACCTTCTGCCAATCGCCGATCACTCCCCCCCTCCA